TCTTTGGGCCACCCTCTCCCCTCCCACAATTTACGGAATGTCAACTCCAGAGTCCAGCAGAGATTTCCAGCTTCTAAATCGGAGCGGGGTCCGAAAGTCCTTATTTTTAAAGCCACATTCGGCCACCACCTCCCACCCCTAGGTGACCCTCAGGCTCGGCCTGGGCTGGAAGCCGGTCACTTGTGACAGATTAGCGAGATCAGTCTCACAAGAATACCTTACCCCCTCCTCCCAGGCAGTGCAGGGCTAGGGGGTCCTCTTTAGGCACTCACAGCATAGTCCCGGGGTTCTTAGGTGCCAGGGAATAGAGGCAAAGCTGGGGCTCAGAGAAGGGGAAAACTCTACAGAAGCCTAATTCAAAGGCTCTCAAAGCCAGAGGAGGGTGAATCACATGCTCTCTGGGTCCACCCAATTCTGATGTCCCTCACCCTTTTGGAGGCCACTGGACCCATTCTGTGCCCTTTCGGCCTCCCGCTTCACCGCCCCCCCCCCACTGCATCTTGGCCACCCGCTCTCCAGCCCTGGCCTGGCATGCGCTCCTGAAGTGCAAGTGAGCATATTTTGACCTGAAAATCAGAAACCAGTTTAGGAATCAAAGTGTCTTTCAAGCCAAAGTCGGAAACCAACGTTCATCTTCAGCTTTTGAACATTTTGGCCCTGCGCCTGTGCCCAGCTGTGGTGAAATATACACACACATCATCCCCAGCTAACAACACAACAGTAGTGTAAAAAGTGCTGGCACCCTGAAGGCAGGCAGCCCCCTGCTCCTGTCCACAGAATGTGCATCATCAGAGTTTTCCAGCTGTTAATGTTTGAATAATCCATTTATTTTGAAGTGTGCACCGTTTAAGAAATACTCTTGTTTCTCAGCGATCAACTCAAGATTTTATTAGACTATGGTTTCAAAACCTGAGTGGAAAATGTTGTCCAGAATACATAGAAAAACTACATATCCTTCCTCTCTCTCTCTCCCTTACTTTCCCTCCCTTCCCTCCTTTTCCTCCCTTCCTCCTTTCCTCCTCTTTCCTTCTCTTTATTTCTCCTTTCCTTCTTTTTTTTCTTTCTTTGTAAATGTGTATTCATTGAAGCTAATTTTGGGGACATTTCAATGGTCAATTCGGTTAGGCGACCTTGGAAGCAGTGTGTCAGAAAAGGGCTGTGTTGTTTTGCATAATATCTTACACTTTCCAAAATGTCCTGATCAAACAAGTGATATATACCATAAGTTTTAAAAATATTAAATATGGCTATTTTTTGGAGGTTCCTTCTATTCTTTGTTTTCTAGCCGACTTGTCCCATCAGGTCGAAGCTGTAAGGGGCCCTTGTTTGCTTCTCAACATCAGAATGTCTAAATGTGATAATAAAATGAGGCTACAGCAGGATTCACTTACATACAGCAAAGAAGAAAAGTGTTAGTATTTCCCTAGACATTAATATTCCCTAGGTAAATTCTCCTTCTCAATGGTAGGGGGTGAACATCTGGATATAACTGAGATATTGAGGTGACTATCTTCAGATTTTGCATCTTGATTATAAATAAGTGTATCATTCATCCTGACCTTGGCCACTGAGCAAAATCCGTGCCTGTGTGCTTTGTACAAATGTGTATATGTGACGTGGACGCGAGTAAAAGTACGTGTATGCGTTCCTAGCAGTCTGTAAAAACAAAACAAAAAAGTGTGTTATGGGAGCGAGGAAGGGGCGACAGAAACCACTCCAGTTTTGCTAAGATGTTGAAGAAGCTGGGCGCAGAGAGGAGTTACCAGAAGGTAGGATAGAAGTCCGTGCCTGAGCACGGTCAGCATCACAATGCGCCCAGGTCGGGGCCAGTACGCTGAAACCCAACTCCGTCGTTTGCGCCGCAATTCCGCTGGGCGTTCTGGTTCTTTCCCAGCCCAGAGGTTTAGCTTCTCTAGTCTGGACTTTGCCTGCTGTTGGGAGGGGTCCGGCGGCCCTCGGAGGCCCCCTCCTCTTGGTTCCGGGAGCGCGCGGCGCGCGGGACTCCGCACGCACAGGCGCGTTGGTTCTCAGATCTGTCGCAGCGGGCACGCGGTGCCCCCTAAATCTAGAGCCTTGGGCGCCCGCACATCGTGGTGTCCGAGCGAGCTAAAAAGGAGGGCTCCATGCGGGCAGCATCTGGGCTCGCCTCCGTGGTAGAAGAGACGCCCGGGGGTACAATTTTGCTGTTTGCCCTCCTTGACAGAGGAAAGGAGGAAGATGTTTGTTTACAAACAGGCCCCGGTTTCTTCCCGCATTAGGAAATCGTTGCGTGGTTGCGTAGACAGTGCCTCAGCGCCAGAGGTACTCGCACAAGGAGGCAGCGGCCTAGACGCTCTTAGGATTCTTGTTTGGTGTTGCTGGGTCGCATGCGCCCATTTCTTTCTTTCCCGGGGCTTTCCCCCTTAGTTTTTGGCAAAGAAGTGGGTAGGACTAGCTTCTTAAACTCCAGAAATTAATTTAAAATTTCTCACGCTAGAGGCGAACGCAAATTCTCCGAACACGTGGGAGGCACCTGAGGTTCCGGTTCACGCCCCTCGCTGGCGCGATGCTCCTGCGGGGCCGGCGGGCGGGGTCGCCGGGAGGGTGCGAGGCCGGGTCCCCGCACCCGGGCGGGGGAGGGCATGCAGGAGCCGCATTCCGGCTTCAGCCTAGGATCAAAGATTAGAAAAACAGGTGTTACGTCGCCATGCTAATTCACTCACTCGGTAAACGCGGCTCAGACAGTTGTGTGCGGAGGACTTAGCGAGGGGGCCGTCCCCACATGGCCGTCCATTCACTTTGTTTATTAAACATCTACTCGGTTCATCGACTACTGAGTTTCACTGGGACGCAGGAACAGCCCGCTGGGCCTCCCAGGACGTCATCTTTGGTGTGAAGACCTACCTACTCATTTTGCCCATTTTGCTTCTGAAAGCAAAATACTGCCTTTCTTCTGGTGAAACGCTCTATTGTATGGGGAGCGGGGCACCTCCTGACGCCCCAGGGTGTCTCTGCCGTGGGCAAGGGTTTCAGATCCTAATGAAGCGCTAATACACCTGCACGTTGTTGAAGGAGAGGTAGGGTTTAAGTAACCAGTGACTTAACCGGCATTCTTTCCAGAACATAGTCGGAATAGAAAACTGCTTAACTCTGAAGTGCCATTGCTGCGCCTGGCCCCTCCATTTACCCGTAAGATGTGTCCAGATTTGGCGCGGGGGGCGGGGGGGAAGGGTCACGGAAGGTTTTTTTCACCCTCCCCAAACACACACCCTCTCTCTTTAAATGCAGTAGTTAACTTGATCTTATCAGGTCTTCCTGGAATGTCGTGTGTAAGAGAGCCACACTACTTCGCTCTCAGTATTCTTACTCCTCTCTTGTTAGGAGTGTATCACTTGGAGGTCGGAACCCTCCCAGAGCCAGGTCTCTAAGTGTCCACAGCCTCTGGGGAAAGGACTCCTTCTAGATTGGAGCCCATCAGCTAGATTCCAGTTTTGAAACAACTATAAAATCTATATGTTTCGTTTTCTCTTATTCTTTCTATCCAGACCCTTCACCTCTTCTTGCCGGGTGCTTCCCAGATGTGTAAATATCCCCAGAAAGCTACCGTTGTCGTTCTGCAAGCTTACTGCCATTGGGCAGCAAGGAGGTTGCAGATGTCTGTACTTTTGAACACTCTTCAAGTTGTTCCGAATATCAGAAAAAATGGCACACCCCCTCTTCAGAGTATACGTTTTCTTGGCGGCAGTTCCGGCCACAAAGGAGAGGATGAGTGCAACATCACTGGTGTTCTTACTGTCTTTTACCGCCGATGAAACAGCTGCCTCCAAGTGCACCTCCCGGAGGAGAATGGTGGTCACCAGCAGCACCAAAAAACAAGCGGGTAATCGCCTTTGTAGGGAGTGATTCCAAGTAGTAGTAATTATTTTGGGGGGGAGGGCAAGTCAATTTTCCCCGTTGCTATCTGCTGTCTTTCCTCGGATGACAGAAGAGATTCAAATCAGAGGGTCTCTTAAATATAATGTCAGCGATAGTACTTACAAGCGTTTGTTTAAATGAGTCCTGTTGGGGAAACCGTGAATGTTGTAAATTTATTGATGCAGAATATATCCTTTCGTAAGGAATATCACATTGGACTTATGTTTCCTGAAACAAAACCAACAACAACAACAAAAATCTTCGCTCACGTTTAAGATAACAGATCGTTGTGAGCTATCTATCTATGTATCAACCACTCTACCTAATTCTATTTTGTGCTGAAATGTTCACCTCTTTTCCTCTAGAGTCCCCTCTCTGCTCCCCATAGGACGACTCCACGGCTGAGCTTTCCACGGTGAGCAAATCAGCCCCCAAACTCGAGCCATTTCGAAAAAGACTCTCCTCTTTGGGATTAATTTAAAGACAGGTATATATATCTTCTCTGGCGATGAATTCAGTGTCGTTGTGGTTTCAGAGAAACGTGAGAGAGAAAGCGCAACACGGGCCCCGCGCAAGCAGTGGGCCCCGCGACTTGCCCCATGGGAATAGCGCGGCCGCCAGGTCGGCCTTTGGGCCGCTCACGCCCGCAGTCTGGGCGACTCCAGCCTTGTCGCCAGGAGCCCCAGCCCCCCGGCCCGACCTCTGCGGCCTCAGGCCGCAGCCCGCCGCTTTCGGGCGCGCCGGGCACAGCGGGGCCAGCGCTCGGGGCTGGGAGCGCAGGCACTCGACCCCGGGGAGAGCGGGAAGCGAGGGTCCTGCACATCACCCGCGAGGCCCCTGGAGGCCGGGAGCAGCGGCGGCTGCCGGGCAGCGCCGACACCCGTGCCCACGGCTCGTCGGGAGCGCTGCAGCCACGCGGGTAGCAGAGAGGCGAGCCCCAAGCAGGGGCGCGCAAGGGGTGGTGCGGGTCGTGCTCGCGTCACTCAGCCCGGCCGGCCAATGAGCGCCTCTCCCCGAGGCAAGCCGAGCCAATTGGAGGCGAGGAAGTTTGTGAGTGGCATTAAGGGAGGGCGGGAGAGAGGGAGCCCGGGAGTGAAGTTGAAGCTAAACCCGTGAGCTATAAAGAAGTTACGGGGGGGCGTTTTCGGCTTCCAATTAGGAATAACACTGGCTTCGTAGCAACTACCGAGGAGGAGGATTCTAAAACCACCTCACCCGTGCCAAAGCCTGCATCCCCCTCGTTCTCCCACGCACCCCTTCCCCAATTCATGACCAAGAAAAGAAAAGGGAGCCAGGGCGCGCTCTGCTCCTCTCTGCGGGTGGGAAGCCGAGAGGCCGGCGGAGTTGGATGGTAGGCATGAGTACAATTAAGCCGTGCGCGCCTCTGCACCCCTTGCCGCCAGCGGGGACTGAAGGTAGGTGAAGCGGAAGACTCCTTGCGCCCGCCCAGAGGCACCCGCGGCTCTGCGGCGGAGGGGGAGAGGCCGGGACGCCTCCCACCGCCCCCCTCCCCGTGCCTGCGAGGGGCTGTCGTGAATGTGCCACCTGTTAACCTGGCGCTGCCGTGCCCGGCGTGTTGCCGCCCCCGCTGGGCAGGGAGAGCCCTGGGTCGCCTTGGGAGTCCCGAGGGACTTGATGTGTAAGTGCCACTTTTTGAGGAATCCCTGAGACTTCCCTGAGACTTGAGACCCAAGTTAGAGAGGTAGCCAAATTCCAGATCTGCCCAAGTGGGGGGACTGAAAGGCGGCCTCGGCGCTGTGGAGGAATTCTGATTTGTGGAAACCTGCTTTCCTGGGACATGCGCTTGGCCTGGGCACAGGCACGGGGACCGGCGACTGAGGGTCTTCTGAGGGTCTTCAAAAATATGCATTTTGTTATTTGGGCAAGTTCCCAGGGGGCTGGAGAATGTGGCTGGCATGGATGAGGGAATGGGAGCATTATTTGCAGGGGGCTCAGTCTCGCTCCTTACTCCATATCTTAAAACAAACAAACAAACAAACAAACAAAAACACGGAGCCTGGAGAGGCGCGCTGAGGCGAGCTGAGGCCTTTTCCGGCCGTTTTTCGGAATTCGGGCGAGTGCATGAGTGATTGCGGAGCGGCCGATCTCTTACGCTCTGATGCTGTTGTCTTCACAGTGGCCTGAAAGAGTTGTCCGGCATTCCTGTTCTTCCCAAAGGGGCTCGGAGCCTCCTCAAACGCCGCGGGACTGAAGAGCAAACGTCGGGGATTATTATGTCGATTTTCTGGGGACCGGGGTTTGCCTCGCCAAACAGAAGAAAAGGCTGGCTTCTCAGGGGTCCCGCCGGCATTTGATACTCAGAGACTCCTAGGATTGTCCAGATTGCCGTGGATCAGCAACTTTCCTACATTCGAGTCCCCTATTTTTAAAGAAAATCATTTTCTGTTTGCTGCGTTGGTCTTTCACTGACATCAATACACTGAAGCAAAGACTTTGGTCTTTTCATTCAAAGTATGCTTTATATTTTTGCCAAATATGATCTCTAATTGAAAGTTTATTGTTGCTTTTGGATGAATCTGTGGAGTTTATGTTGTAAGAAGAAAGGGAGAACAAGACACAATGAAAGAGAAGTCCAAAAATGCTGCCCGGACTAGGAGGGAGAAGGAAAACAGTGAATTTTATGAACTGGCTAAATTACTGCCTTTGCCCTCGGCTATCACCTCGCAGCTGGACAAAGCATCCATAATCAGACTCACCACCAGCTATCTCAAAATGAGAGTAGTGTTCCCAGAAGGTAAGTGACTCTGCCCAGATGGAATTTCAAAGGCAGAAGGGGTAGAGGTTTGCCAGTGAGTGAGCCTACACCACTGAACAGAGGAGTACATTCACACATATATGCATACTCTCTGCAAAGGGAAGTTTAGCATGGCTGCTTGACTAAGGACCTCTCTGAACTTAGAATTCCTGTTGCCTTTTTGTGGCCCTTTCTACTTCCCCATTAATACTTTCTCTCCAGTCCATCGGATATGTTTGGTTGGGAAGCAGCCCAACAGTGCTTTTGTCAACACTTCAGATACTGAGCTCGACTGAAAGTACAAGTAATCCAAACATGACTTTCTTTTTTTTTTTTTTATTCCTCTTGTTAGAATTGTATCTAGCAGAAGGCAGGAACATTGCCAAATTCTTGTATTTTGCTACATATAGATAGACCCATGTACATGGAGCTGGCTAAGCTAGAAGATAATTTCTCTCCAAGTTTATAATTCTGCAGAAGAGAAGCAGGCATATTTATGAACAAATTTGTCCTGAATTTACCCAGTCTCTTGACTGCTTATAGCAAATTTATTCTGAGTTTTTGAGACATTCACAGATTCTGAAACTAACTCTGGGGCTTCGTGATTTGCAACTCTGAGTTTGATATTATCTCTGAGATAATAGGCTAGGACCCAAATACTTAAGGGTGACCCAAGAAGACTAGCCCGTGTGGAAAATATCTTCTAGGTGTCAGGTTGGCAAACGAGTCCTGGGAAAATTCTTTTAGGGCCTAGAAGGAAGAACAGCTGAGCTGGTCATGATTTAAAACATGTATTTAGATAGATTATCGAGATTCACTGTGTGAGGACAGAACAGCCGTCAAAGAACACTGTCCTGTATAAAATCATTTATACTCACTAGGAAAAGGATACTTCTCTCCTCCATCTCCCCATCCTTTCCTTTACCCACATTCAAATAATATGTACAGATTTTTTAAAGTATTTAAGATAACATCTTCGCTAGAGGAGAGAGATTGGGAAATATAAAGGAGAGAATACCAAACAAACAAAAAAATCCAAGAGAAAGAACTCTGTTTATTTACAAACCAGAATGTCTTATTTGACCCACAGAGGTTTATGTTATTGTTGATTTTGGGTGTTTGGGGTCTGTTGTTTTCTTTTAAGGAAATAGGGGGAAGGAAATAGCCATTATTGGGCATGGAGTTTCACTTTGTTTGATCTTGACTAGAAGTTATTATCTGAATCAAAATCTTGCAAAACATGTCGACAAATTAGCCAGGGGCACTAAAGGAAAACTTTCAAACTATAGTCCAATTTTACCCCAGAACTACAAGTAGTGTTATAGTTGTTTTGTCTTAAAGCAGTTCCTTGAACAATCTCAGTTGACCCTGGAAACCACAGGAGGAGAGGAATCAAAATCTAAAGTTCCTGAAAAGTTAAAAAAAAAAAAAGAAAAGAAAGAAAAGGGGGGAAATTATATATTTAAAAAACCATATTTCCCATTCAAACTGTGCTGAGAAATGCTGGTGGGAAAAGTACAATTATGCTACACTGCCTTCTGTTTAAAAAAAAAAAGAGAGATTTCGTTGTCTTTTATACTGTCAGCGCCTACTTTATAAAAATAAAGCTATTGCGAACTCGGCTGGCCGCGCTGTTCCTAACAGGATTATTAGCAGTGATTTGTCAGCCCCTGCGGTCTCAGTGGGCTCCCTTTCTGCGTGATTTCTAGCGGGTCTCGTCAATTATCGGTGCCGATGTCGCTCGCTGTTTGATCAGAAGAAGCATATGGTGCTGCTTGTGGGGCTGCGAGTAATCGCGGGAGGAAAAGAATAGGGGATCGGCGTTCCCGGGCAGGCACAGAACGACGGCTAGGAGCGCCCAGGGAGTTGCCGGAACAGGGGCGCTGGTCTTTGTCACGCAGACCCGGGTTGGCGCGACCGGGAGGGTTGCGGGCTGGTTTTTGTTGTTTTTGTTTTGTTTTCTAAGAGAGCAAGCTGTCTTAAATAAGTGCTAACTCCACAAATTATAAATCGCGTGGTAAATAGGAGGAACAGAAGGTAAACTCTCTTAGCCAACTTCTTATTTTTAAAGAGAGCACTGGCGAAGACCACCCCCCCCCCACCGCCCCCTGGAGTCCCCTTGGTGGCCGGGCGGATCCCCTGTGGCTACTTTAACCGCGACTGTGCTTTCCGCAGCCCCCTTCACTTTCCTCCGGAGCCCGGAGCCCCTCCCTCCTCTCCCTTCTCCGGTGGACTAGTGTGAGTTTATGGGGAGGAGGGGATGGACGATGTGTGAACTCTGGGCACATCATTTATTTCTCCAGCTACTGTTGAGCTCATAACTCACCCGCAGTCTCCACCCGGTGAGTTAGAAGGGTTATCCGAACAGCTGGCTCCTAGGGATGAGGTTTTAATTTTGAGGATAGATTAGCTTCAAAAATCCAAAACCCAGACAGCCTTTAAAATATTAAAGCCCTTTAAAATATTGAACAATAACAACAACACCCCCCCCCAAAAAAACCCAACAAAACAAAAAAACAACCCAACATCTTTCAAAGGAGTGAAAAAATCACAAGCAGCAAAACCAGGCACAACCTGCAGAGGGTGCCAGATTTGGGTTCGGCTGTGGACGGGGCAGAGAGTAGACAAAACTGGGTCCATGACAGTAGGGGAAACTGGGCACTTTATGTGGAGGTAACCTTTTTTTAGTGATGAGAAATAGAAAGAATTTGAAGCTGTAGTTCATGTTTACACCTATCTTGATGCCATTCCAGCACATAGTAGGTCTTAAATTTTGTTCTAAGGATGGAGTAAAAGGTAGCTATTTCATCATGGCAAGCATTCTGTCACATGTAACATAATGGATTTTGCAAGGTATATAATCTAAAATAATTATAAATCTGATGACATCTTAGTTATAAGCACAATGATGACTATAAAACTCCACTGTTTTGGCTCAGATTACATTTCATCTACAATACCCAGGTAATATCAAAAGGCTTAAATCAACAAACAGAAATCTTTCCATACTTACATTTGAAAAACATAAGAAAATACTTAAAATATAGCTAATTCCCCATCATTAAATATAGCTCCACCCTCCCCCAGATTCTGGTAGATTCCTGGTCTAGGGGCAAACTTCAGTTTTTACTTATTTGAGTGGAAAAAATTGAGCTGTTGAAAGAAAAATGAGAGAGAAAGAGAGATTGGGAACACAGGAACGGGATATGGGTGCCTGGAATAATTAAGAATAAAGCATTAGATTGGAGACTTCATACTTAAAAAAACACAGGGAAGATTACTGTCAAATCATTAAAACTGCATATCTCCCATTGGCAGCATATTCCATTCTAAAATAGCCTTGCAAAGAAAAAACTTGAGAAAGGTATGAGTCTTTGGTGTTATCAAAGCTAGAAAGGCAGGATAAAAAAGAGAGATGGTGTTCCTTGTGTGCAAAATAAGACAAATTCAACTAAAAAGAAATATGTATTTATTACCCAGATATAATACAGGTTTTAGCTGGGGGCGCAGTGGCTTGCTGAATAACCTTTGAAAGGATCAGGCATGTTTTCAAATCTATAGCCATTGAGAATCTTGATAACATCACACTACCATTTCATTGTCAAGATGTCTTGGGAAAATAAAAATAATCACAGAATTGAAATTAGTCACTGTGCAGGAAAGGGAGTCTCTACAAAGGCTGGAAGGACAAGGTTGATTAAACAAACCTCCACAGACCCTTTCTGTAATATTCACCTCAAGATTGAAATCCTTAATCGCCTTATATTTTTTTGAGGCCGAGAACTGAAAGAGAAAAAGAGGCCCCATTTCCCACGTGGATGGGTGATTTAAGGCTGTTTTTCTTGCTGCTCGGGGAAATGATTGAGCATTAGGTTTCCATGTTTATTTTCTTACAGAAGTTTTTCTCATTTAAAAGCCTTTAAGCCCAGTTTACGCTCCATGCTGGTTTTCTCTGTTTAATTCCAGTTTTGATGTTGACTTAAAATGTAGAGGGCAGAACTAAACTCCGCACAGAGCATTTGCAAGACAGATTTATGTGCTAGAAATTGTAGATTAGATCAATGAAAAAAATACTTTTTTTCTTTAAAGGGGACGGTCACTAATAAAAACAATAACAACAGCGAAACAGGGCATTATAAGCTATGGCGAGATGCTTTTAAGCAGGGTACAATCACACACCTGAAGCTAAAAGCAGGCTAATTTTCCAGAGGACAAACATGATTTCTAGGAGAGTTATTTTTCAATCCTGGGGGAAATCTCGGCAGCTTGGAGATTTGCAGACGCAAATGTGGACACAATTCAACCCATGGATTCTGGCTCTATGTCGGCCCAAGTATTTCTCAATAGAATGAAGTTTAGACCCAGCTAACACCTTATGATGTTAGCTGTCCACCCATTGCCGGTCTCTGATTCATGGAATTTTAAGTTTTGCGTGGGGAAGGAGAACCCTCAATATTTAGCAAGGGGCCTGCTACTTAGTACTAAAACATTGTTGGAGAAGTGCAGAGCAAACTTTCTGCAGGTAGTCCCAGCCGGGAGGCGGGTCCTGCGCGGAGTCGCTCGACCTCGGTGGCTCGGGCCAGACCCGAGACAGCGACCTTGTAGAGAAGCCTCTACGGCCCTCTGGTACGTAACGAAGCACGCAGCTGGGAGAAGGCTGCTTGCTGCCGCTCGCAGGCCAGGTCGGCGCGGCGAGGCCCATTCTGTCCCGGCCGCGGATGGCCGCAGCCGAGAGTGCGCCAGCTGGAGTCTCCGCACGGTCCAGACCAGGTCTCTGCCCTCCAAGGTTCGAAGACGTCCCAGCGCGCCTGCCCCAAGCAGAGGCCGGGAGGGTGCGGGAGTGCTCCCTCCAACATTCGTGCTGCCCCAGGCCCCCGCCCCAAGGACGGGCGGTTGTTTAAACCTTAAGTGGAGATCCAGTCCGAGCGGACAGTAGTGCGGCGGTCGAGGGCCGGCCGCCAAATGGAACACAAGCGGGATACGCCTGAACAGCGGGGCAGCCCCGTCCGCCCACCCGCGCCTGCCTTTGGGGCAATGGCATTGCCCCTCCCCGCCACGTTTGAAGACCTGGAGCCCTGGGGCGACACCGCTTGACGTTTTTCAGCGTCACGCAGGCACTATTGTCAACCCCGCGTGCATTTCCGTCCCACAATTTAGTTTGGACAAGGCTGAACCCCGGCTGTCCTTGGTTCCTGCAGGTCATGCTCTCTTCGAGGCAGGCTCTGACGCCGGAGGCCAGCTTGGCTGGCATTCTCGATCCCGACTTGGAAGCCCTAGCTCCAGGGCCAGAGCACAGCGAGGGTGCAGAGACAATCAATGCTGGGACCGTCAGGCTCTACCCCAGATTTATAACTAATATTTGCGGATTCCCCGGGCGCGGCCAGGGGTCTCAGAGGCGCGCAGGGGAGAGCAGGGCACACACTGCCACTGCGGAGTGCAGAACACACAGGGGAGTGCAGGACACACGCTGTAGGGTTCAGGCTGCTGCGCGACCCCGCGCAGCTACCGTCGCCCTCTGGAGGTCGGCCACACCCGCCAGGTGACCGGAGGGCGCCGCGAGCCGAGAGGGCCATGGCGCCCGAGGCGTGGGGGTGCGTACGCCGAGCCTCGGGAAGCAGCCTTCTACCCAGTGACGGCTCCGGGCGCTCTGTCTTGTCTAAGGGCTCCCAATCTCCGTCCCTCTCTTCCCCAGAAAGCACAGCTTCTTAGGCCCCCGGAACCCTCACAGGAAGACCGCTAGATTGCTGGACGGGGGTGGTGGAGGGAACCCAGGTGCCTGACACAAGTTCCTCCGGGACCCGAAGTTAGGAGCGCCGTCTCAGAGGACTTTTCCCCACCTTAGTCACCAAATTGTGGTCAGATCCTGGGACAGCTCTTCCAGTCCCCTTCCCACCCCCATATTGCTTAAAAGGTATATCAGGTCAATCAGATGAAGCTTTCGGGGAACAACTATAAGGAGGATACATTTCTATTGAGATATAGTTTATTTATTAAAGGGAAGGGGGAAAGAACAGTGTGGGACAAGCTCTTCTCTTCCTCCTCTTCCTGTCTGAGTGAAGGAGGTGATGATGCCAGGTCTGTAATCTATATTTTGTCAAGGGTATGAAATTCATTCCGAAGGAAAAGCTCGATCAATTTATTTTTGCTGCTTGTAATAACACAGCTGGATGATGCTTTGAGCTCACGCTAGACTGGGGCTCATCATTCATTCGCCAAGAACGGGCCTAAATTGTGCCTGTGGGATTAGGTCAATTTTAGTGGATCTACTTCGCCTCATTTGGTTACTAATTGGTTTCTTGTTTTATAAATCGAAATCTCATTTTCAGGAAATTACAAAACCCGTGCAGTCAGTCCATTGAGGTAATCCTTGGGTCAGGGGGTATTTAAATGGAAATGGCTCAACCGAGCACTGAGGGTTAGAGTGAAACTTCGCCCGGGTTTTCACATGAAATGTGAGCTAGCCCTTTCGATCCATAATAGATACATCCCTTCTAATACTACTTATGTAAATATGATAAACCAGACTTTAAGGGTAGAGGGGGGCGGGGAGAAGCAAAATTTATCTGCTAAGGTTAATGTGGCATATCTTGGAAATCTTCCAAAATAGATTATGTTTTCCTTTGTCTTCGGCCACTTTAGCTGGGGAAAATCCTTTTGTCTAAAACCCGATTTAGTTATCGCTTCCCTCACAGAGCTCCTTTTCTCCTTTGCAAAACCCTGTTCCCTCGGCCTCACCGAATTACAAGAGAATCTTTAGATCTTGTTCCCACTGTAATCCTGCCGCAAAGGGAGCCGGTTTCCTCCTCATTTTAAACAGACAATCAAAGGATTTGTGAATTTTCTGCGGTAGGTCAAGTGCAGAAACGAAATCTCAGCTTACCCCCCTCGCCAACTGAAATTGGGAGCGGGAGCGCTTCACCGCCTGAAGGAGGTGAGGGGTTCCGGGGAGAAGGGTCTCTGGCCCACTCCAGGATTTTCGGGAGGCCGAACCTTTGACCGGGGCTTCAGAAGGTGTCCTGGGAAGGCTGAAGGGCGAGCTCAGCCCTAGGATTAGGTCAGGAAAGCCTGGCAGGTAGACGAGGGCAGCCAGTCCCTTATGAAACATTAACCCAGACAAAACCGTGTGACGGAGATTTCAACCGCAAACATAGAGGAGGCAATGCTCCGTGAAAGCAAAAGGTTCCTTAAAAGGTGTGGGGGTAGGGGCAGGAGAGGGCGAGGGAGGCCCCCGTTAACCTGCGCTAGGCCGGCTGTTTATTAACCTGCGGGGAAGCCTTATTTTTCCCTCGTAGGCGCATACTAATGAGGCCGCAACCCGAGACAACAAACAGCCCAGGCTGGCGCTGGGGTTCGGAACCAGTACTTAACCCCGAGCCCAGCTCGGGGATTTTCAAATGATTCGGGTCGGGAGGCCGTTCCCGGGCTGTTTCCAGCCGACTTGGGAGAACTTCACAGTTTTAAGAATAAAGGCTTTTGTTGGCCCCTAGCGCAGGCTTCGCACCCTTCTGGAAGACAAGATTCCGGACGCCGAGGAGGCCTCTGCCAGCTCCCAGGGCGCCGGAGAGCGCCGGCCCTTGGCCCCCGCACAGCTTGGCGCTTTCAGGCCTCGGCTGGGCGCTGGCGTCCCTGGCTCTCCCAGCAGTTTCCTTTCCCCTTTCCCCAGTTTGGCCTCCTAAACCAACACCCCCGCCCCCTTTCGCCACTTTTGGGTGTGTGTGTGTGTGTGTGTGTGTGTGTGAGAGAGAGAGAGAGAGAGAGAGAGAGGCGATGAAAAAATGAACGCGTCGTGCCAGAAACCAGGGAGGATAGCTTGGCCGAGACTCGAGGAGAGAAGGGAAGGTGACACGGAAGGGGTGTGTACAGGTGGCTGTGGCGGAGGCCCTCCTAAACAGTCCAGGAGGACCAAAGCATCTGGGCAATGGAGTCACTCTAGGGAGGGAAACTGGAGCGGGCTAAAGAGGCAGGAGGGATTGACTAGAGGCGAGGGAGGGAGAGGAGTCCGGCCGCGGGCGGGGAGCCTCAGTGTTTGCAGAGCAGTGGGGAAATCGTTAGATTTATTTAGATGTGCAAACACCCAGAAAGACCCGATTCGAGCTTAAGGGGCGCTCATGGTTACTCGTTACCAGGGTTTTGATCGCTTGCTTAGGAAGCAGCTCCTGGCCAACACATTTTAAGAGTCCAACTCCATGTTTTATTCTGAAAGATCCGCCCTCACCCCCATATTACAATGCGAGTGTGTCTGTCATTGTGTACTTCATAGTGATTTGTACTTTAATGCAGTAAATCAGTAAGTCATCCCCCCTTTTGTCATGTTAAACCTTGTTTATTGGTGTAAGAATAAAAGAGTTTACTACCTAGTTAAATCAGCAGCAACACTGTTAAAAAGTATTACCTGTAAGTAGTTACAGGTAGTATAACCTCTGTCTCCTCAAGTTTCCTCTGCCTTATTTTTTTTTCATTTTCTTTCTACAAACAGGTACTATAGCAGATTCTATATTAATTTTTTAAAAAAATCAGCCACGGGTATTCAGAGAATTTTGTTTTTTAGGCATCACCAGAGAAATGATTTCTGGCAAAGCCTGGAAAGATCTTAACGTGGTAGCATCGAGGAGAGAAAGGGACTTTGTTAATAGATGGTACCTGGAAAGTAGAGAAACGGAATGATTGTCTATATCCAATAAGGAACGGAAATATTGCTAAGACGGTATTAGCACCAGAAAGTAACTTCAAAAGAGCGTATACAATTTTTTTTTTTTTTTTTGGAGTCGAAGTTAGGACGTGTAAGTCGAGGGCTGGCTCGGGGTGAGGAGGTGGGGAAGCAGAGGAAGAAGGATTGCTCTGGGATGGTGGTGCTGGAAGCCATTGGCAAGCAAACGGATTTCTACGGAGGGAATCAAAGTCAGAGGCCTAGGGGAGGAAAATAGCTGGAGAGCCCCGCAGCCCAATGAGAAAGCCCATCAAGGACCAGCTGGACCTGGCTCGAAGCCTCAGGTATTCGCGCGGCATTCGCTTGATGTGTGGACATCCTTGGCCTCCTGATAAGGAAGATGATGAAACTTTGGGAGAGAAGTAGTGTCCCTCACCCCTCTAATAGAGCACACTAGTGAACCTACCCAAAAGTTACGGCGGGGGTTCGGTGTCGGCCCCTTCGGGGCACAGGCGGTCCTCAAATTCAGCCACTTGGGGTACTGCCAGGAGGGGTGCTCAGCCAAGGCCCTGCCCTTCCTGAGAAGCGGCCCGGGAGGGGGAGTCTGACCTCTACGCAGTCCTTTGTAAGTGGAGAGGGCGGGGCCGAAATTTACCAGCTCGCGTCCCCGGCTGTTCTGGAGCGGGGGATCTCGGATGGTATCCAGTCATGTGTGCGAACTTGCGTGTGTGACAGAACCGCGAGATTAGGCTCAAACTGCTAGCCAGGTCGGACTCCCATCTCTAAAGGGTGTCTCTGTGTCTCCACAGGGCTCGGCGAGGCGTGGGGCCACTCGAGTCGCACCAGCCCCTTGGACAACGTGGGCAGAGAACTGGGCTCCCATCTGCTCCAGGTACCGGCGCGGAGGCACATATGCTTCGAGGGCTCGGGTGCCTGGCCCCGCGCCGGGCTTCTTGATTTTTAGGGAAATGGGATGAGGCCCAGACGTGGCCTTCTTGCAGCCCCTACAGCTTCTTCAAAATTAAAAAGTTGAGTTCTTAACCTCGTTGGGTGCTGATGGCACCTCTAGAGGCAGAGAGGAAGGCAAGGTGACAATGGGTACGTTGGGTTTAGAAGGGAGTCCCGCAAGGCCCCAAATCAGGATGGCTGAACCGAGGGAGGGAGCGCCATTTGACACCATTCAGCTGAAGGAACCGGAGCGCGCCGGGCCAGGCTGCAAAACCGCCAGAAATGAAGGATTTACACAGGAATAACGGGAATCTGGTAGAAATGCCCATCAGTGCTTTAAGCCCACACATTCCGGATCCAGCTGCGTCTGCAACTCTTTCGTCTCCTCCCTGTAGTTCGCGGGCCCTCTCCTCTGTCTCCATGAGCTCTCACCCCAGGCCAGCCCAACCCGTGTACAGACCCTCGCGTACACACATACAGCTCCCCAGGTAATGAGTTTACCCAATGTGGAGGCGCCCATTACCGCCTTGTTTGCAGTGTACACCGTTTTAAATTGCCCGTTGCCCGCTTAAGTCGCATAGCAAATATTTAAAATAGCAAAACTCCCGGTGGCATTTTTAGGCTTGACACTTGTCTCCTACCGTCCACCCCCTTATTATTATCCATGTCCACTGCCAGCTCCTCATGTGGGAACCTCAAACCTAAAAAGCATGGTGGGAATCTGAGCTGGTTCTTCCTCCTGGGCCCGGCAGGACTGCTGTGGCTTCCCCTGTCCCGCTGCTACACTGTCCCTCCCTCAGTCCTGGAGGCCAACGAGATTCTCCTGTCACAGAGCACACAGAAAGGCCCATGTAAGCATTCCCTCATAGGCCTGGCCTCCAAACCTCTGAATTAAATAGAAAGGCTTTGTTCCTCTCCTTTCTCAGGGACACCTTTCATCAGTTGTCTCTCAACAAGGCCCTCCCCCCCCCAGTCTTTCCATGTTCCCAGCTAATTTCCCTCATCAATATAAAAAAGAGAATGAAACCCAAACAATCTTCCACTCCTTCTAGTTCTTGCCCAATCTTTTCCCTCTTCTTCATCCCACACTTCTGGAAGGACTTAATTACCCCCTCAGTTTCCATCACTCTGCCTGCTGCCCTTACTTCCACACCTTTGCAGTCTGGCATCTCTCCTAACTGTTGTGCTCTGTCTTGGCCCCGTCACATTTTGATATCCAGCATAAAGATGCTCATCTCTTATCCTACCCGACTTTGTTCATTCCACAAATATAGAAGGGCCAACTGTGTGCCAGACAGAATGTCCTGCCCCCGTGGAGTTTACATTCTAAGGAGAGCAGCCTTGCAAACCCACACAGGTGCTTTACATAGTATAACATAGTAACAGGTGGTGTAGGTGCTGTGGAGAAAAATAAGGGCAGGGGAGGGGGCTGTGTTTCAGTAGTGCCACTTAAAATGGGGACATTATAGAGGACCTCACTGAGAAGGGGACATTGCCGCAAATACCTGACAGAGGTGGCACTGCTTACTTGACATTCACCCTCTCCCTTGGCTTCTAAAGTAGCACAATTTCTTGGATTCTTCTCCCTCTCTACTTGCTCCTCTGGTTTCCCCATGCTGTCTGGCTGTAAATGCTGGCATTTCTCCAAAGTTCCACCTCTGTTTCTCCTCTCACAACTTCAAGGCCTCATGGGTGATCTCAGCCAAAACCATCACCTCAACTTCTTTCCCACATTTGCATGACTCCAGCTGGTTTCTCCTGTCTAGACATCTTTCTGGAGCTCCAGATTTTTTTTTTTTTTTTAAGTTTTTTTTGACAGAGAGAGAGATAGCGAGAGCAGGAACAGAAGCAGGGGGAGTGGGAGAGGGAGAAGCAGGCTTCCCGCAGAGCAGAGAGCCCGAGGTGGGACTCGATTCCAGGACCCTGGGATCATGACCTGAGCCGAAGGCAGACGCTTAAGGACTGAGCCACCCAGGCGCCCTCCAGATCTTTATTTCTTACTGCCAACTGGAAATCTGCATAAACCTGAAGTTTAGCATCTCCAAGACAAGAATTCATTTCTTCCCTCCTCCAGACTGCCACTCATACAAAAACTCACCATGCTTCCCTAAATTTTCAATCTTGGTTCATGGTGTTACCCTCTACTCAATGACCTTGAAGTCCCTCTCAGCTTCTCTTTCTGCCGCTATAAATTCCACAGCTAGAACCATCTTTGACTTAAACTCTCCCTCTTTATCATCAACTGGTGACCACCCAAATTTAGGCTCAACCATCTCTGATCTCTTCATCCCCACTTTTTCCTCCTGTAGGTCACTGTCCACATTCTGCCATTAAAAAACAGAACAAAATGAAACACAGGCACACACACACACACACACACACCTAAGCATGCTATTTCCCTGCTAACCTGTGTAGAAACTATTGGAAACCATCTCCAAATTCCTTAGAATGATATCTCAAACTCTCCAAAAACCCAGCAGCAGTGTACTTTCTTAGCCCATCTTTGGCAGACCAAATCCATCACACCTGAGTACACCAGATACACCCTCCCCCCAGTCCCTGCCTTTCTCTCATCATTCCTTCTGCCTAGGATACCCTTCCTCCCATCTCCAGTTCAAGCTTCCTCTTCAAGGCTCTGCTCAAATAGTTCCTCTGAGGCCTCTCTGATTCTGCCGCAGGCCTCTGGCCACTCAGCCTCTGCGGCCCTACAGCACTGTCTTTTCAGCTGTGTGGTCATTATATCTGTCTTTAGCCAGTCACTGCTGCTGGACTTCCAGCAACTTGAGAGCAGGATCTGACTCATCCTTATGTCCCCACTGCCTGGACTGAAGCCTCATTCACAGAGATAAAGGGATATTGAAAGTCTAAGACTTTCTTTCATGGAAAGTCTGTCGGTTTGATGCATCAATGTAAACACACATATGTACACACTATACCACTACTCTTACAGACTTGCTGCCTGGAAAGCCTCTCGTTTCCTAAACCCCCTCTCCCAGATTCTTTCTGGAGCTATTGGGCAGCTGCCTTCTGTCTACAAACTTTTCAGACTGCCAGCCCTTCCATATGGTTCAGTGCCCATTTCCCAAGCCCTGCTGCTACTCTTTCCATTATAGGATGCTGCCACTATGGAGTCCTCCAAGACTGACACAGGAAACCTTTCGTTCTTTCAGTGACCACCACCGCAAGAAACTACCTACTTCTTATCACAGGCTGTGATCCCCTGCCCCCTATATTTGTGTGTGTGTATGCTATAGATATGTCTGTATTGTCCACTCTGGTGAATCCCGAGTCTCGGAGGACAGTAGCCTTGCCAGCTACTTCCTCCGGGCATCTCCCAGTGTGCCGCATGTCCCAGATGCTTACATATTTGGAATGAACAAGAGAGGGACTCTTGTGGCAATTTTTCTGTGCCCTATTTCCTATCAGCCTCTCTCTGCCCCCTCTGTCCACTCTTCCTGGCTGAACATCTCTAACTTCTGCCCCCAACCCCAGTTTCTCCCCATGGCCCAGGGGGGCTCTCTATTCAACTCTGTTTCTATCTCCCTAGACCCTGGACGGCTTCATCTTTGTGGTGGCCCCAGATGGGAAGATCATGTACATCTCGGAGACAGCCTCAGTCCACCTGGGTCTTTCTCAGGTAGGTGAGTGGTCCATACCTCCAGCCTTCCATGTTTACACTGAGAGCTGGAGGCCCGCGGTAAGGGTGGGGGTGCTTTCCCACAGCTCTTATATGTGCATTTCTGGGCCTGGAAACATCTTGGCTGGCAGGGCTGCATCTCCCTTTTCCTCTACTTACCTTATCCTTACCCCTTATCCTGCTACCTTCTAGAGTCCCTACCATAAGTCCAACACCATGGGTGTTGTTTACTTACTAATGTCTGATGTGTTCACCTGAACACTGTCAGGGCACTGCTGTACTACTACTCTAATTACTATTATTACAGTATTATTATTATTTCCTTTCATAGATGAGGAAGCTGAGGCTTAGATAGACTGCAATAGGTAGCCAGCAGCAGAACGGGAATAAAAACTCAGGGCTGACTCTAAAGTTCTGGCTCCTGTCCTCACAGTCCTGTAGACACGCTGGTCCAATCCTCTAGCCCTGCCAGGGCATTCCACCACCTCGGAGAAGGTGATACCCTCCTCTTTACAGGTAGAGCTGACTGGGAACAGCATTTATGAATACATCCACCCGGCGGACCACGATGAGATGACCGCTGTGCTCACGGCCCATCAGCCCTACCACTCTCACTTCGTCCAGGGTAAGCAGTGCAGGCCGGCGACACTTGGGCCCATCTCCTTTCGCTTGTGGCTTTTCCCCAGTCAGCCACTGGAGGGGCAGGGACTGGGTCGCGGCCCCACCTGTCTCACCGGCTCACGACCTGCCCCTCCCTCCGCTCCTCTCTCCCAGAGTATGAAATCGAGCGCTCCTTCTTTCTGAGGATGAAGTGCGTCTTGGCCAAGAGGAACGCGGGCCTCACCTGCGGAGGGTACAAGGTGCGTGGCTGAGAGGGACGATCCTAGCCGCGTGTAGCGGAAAAGGGCAGGACCAGAGGAGCTTGCGGCTTGGGAGGGAAGTTTCGGCGTCGCCGGAGGGCATCCCCCGCCCCCGCACGCGCCGCAGCGCTGTCTGCCCGGAAGCACCTGGAGAGTTGTTGAACTTTGTGAACACTGGGGGACTACTAAATTTAAAGACTTAGTTTCACTGTGTCCGGTTACTGCCCGGCCGCTGAGACTCTTAATCTGGGGCTCATAAGGAGCCTTGGGGGTGTGTAAAGCGTCTGAAATGGTCAGTCATTTTGGCGGATCCTGGAGTTTACTCACAGCGTCAGATTCCGACCCCCAGAGGGGTTAAGAACCAGAGCTTTAGCTCAAATCCATGGTTCTTTTGTTTAATGAGAGGAAACTCGATTAGAATGCCCGTTCCAGGGCCCCACTTCCCGATTTTGAGGAGTTAGGATTGACAGGTGTTGCCAAGCCTCTGTATTTTTACAAGCTCCCGGGTGAGTTCCGTGTGGCAGGACAGTCATTCCCTTGAGACGCTGGAACACCAATAACTTTGGACACCTCAGTGCGGGGGCGTGGCCCACACGGCCTTTGTGGCCCTGGGGGAGTCTCAAAATGTTTCAATCCCTTACCCACCTTTTTGGGAATGTTTCCTGGCTGTGGCTGAGTCTTCCCGCCCCCCTTCACCCTTCACTGCAGGTCATTCACTGCAGCGGCTACCTGAAGATCCGCCAGTACAGCCTGGACATGTCCCCCTTCGATGGCTGCTACCAGAACGTGGGCCTGGTAGCCGTGGGCCACTCGCTGCCTCCCAGCGCCGTCACGGAGATCAAGCTGCACAGCAACATGTTCATGTTCCGCGCCAGCCTGGACATGAAGCTCATATTCCTGGACTCCAGGTGGGTGGCTCAGGCGGGAAAGGATACACGAGCGGGAGGGCGGCCCTGCTTAGTGGCTGAGAGCTCTTCCTTGACCTTCGGAGCCCATTTTGCAGATGAGGCGACTCACCGGGCTCTGCGAAGTGGGGGCGGCCACCAGGTCTGAGAAGGCTGTCTGGGGTGGGGGTGGGGGGCATCCCGGCACCCTGAGCTCATGCCGCGAGGATTGCTCTCCTCAGAGTAGCGGAGCTGACGGGGTACGAACCTCAGGACCTAATTGAGAAGACCCTGTACCACCACGTGCACGGCTGCGACACCTTCCACCTGCGCTGCGCCCACCACCTGCGTAAGGCGCCACTCTTCCCGGCATCGGACTAACCCCAGCGCGTCCCGGGGAGGGGAGAGGGCGTGATTTAAGTCCACAGTAAGCGGATGGGTGGAAGCCCTGGTAGCCGGGGGGTGGTGCGAGGCCCTTGCCAGCGAGCGGTCGCTCCAACGCTGAGCCCCACCTTGTTTCTCTAATATCCGCGGGAAGAGTTTCTGAGTTTCTGGGTAAATTCCCCCAGGAGGGGTTTTATGCTTCCCTCTCCTGCCCTCTGCAAACCTCACTGAAGACCTGAATAAAAACTGAGGCTAGGCCACTTGGCTCACGTGCACTGACTGACCTGCTTCGGCTTTTGATAGAGCTTTGCTTTGAACTTAATCTCCAGGAACAGGGACCATGAGCCTCGCTGCCCAGACACTACCTTCCTTAGTTAGAAAGTTGAATGGGGGAATCCCCCTATTTTAAGCGTCCTCCACCCCTTTGCCAATCGCAAGGGACTGGAGGACTCAATGCAAAGTAACAGGACAATCAATTCCTTTGGGAATGTACGGGTTGTCTCTCCCTCCTGCCTGGGCGCAGTTATCAGGGCCCATAGGGACCTGCACTCCCACCGCCAGGGTTTGCATTTGAGCGGGCTCCTTCACCCCCAGCTGCCTCCTGTCTCTCCATCAGTGCTCGTGAAGGGGCAGGTGACCACCAAGTACTACAGGTTCCTGGCGAAGCACGGCGGCTGGGTATGGGTGCAGAGCTATGCGACCATCGTCCACAACAGCCGCTCGTCCAGGCCACACTGTATCGTCAGCGTCAACTATGTCCTCACGTGAGTGCAAGTCTGGAACCCTTCGCCCACTCCAGGCAACCCTGGTCTCCAAGGGGGTGCGGGTGGTGGGCACTGCGGGTTAGAGGAGGCTGGGGTCCACTGGGACGCAGGTTCTGACCCCGAATGCAGGCTGTGCTGGGAGACGGCAGCTTGAGCGCTTTCATCTTTATGAAGAAGATTTCTTCGTTATATTCTAGGGAAAGACTTGGTGGTTTTTCCATCCAGTCTATATTTGCTTTCTGCTCTCTCTCTCTTTTAACCTTTTAAGCGAACTCTGCATTAAATAAAACTTAATGCGGCAGAAAGAAAAGAGAGAGAGAGAGAGGAAAGCGTCCGACGTGCGGAGCCATTTATGGTTAACAAACAGGACATCTGTTTCACTTTTTCAAATCTGGGTTTGAAGTTCTTAATTTTAACCAGTCACTCCAATCAAAGTTAAGAGTTCTGAGAGACTGATTCTTACGCTGAACCACAAAGGGGGTTTAAGTGACCAGGAAGGTCTGAGTTTAACCTCCAGGAAGCAAAGGGACCTGAGCTAATACTGCAAGTCTTGGCCGGTGCCCAGGCCCCGCGCGTTGTGTGACCGCATCACGAGGTGAAGAGCCGGCCTCGCGGTGCCACCTACGGGCACAAATGGCTGGACAGACGCGGTGGCGGCATTTGAGTCTTATTCTTTCTCGAAACAATAATCGTTTCTGGTCCGCGGTGTGGCCCTGCAGGCTGATCACGTGGTATGGTGTGCGGCTGGTGAAGAAAGCGCCTTCTGTATAATGTTTGTGAAGTCGAATTGCTCAGGTTGGAATCCTTTATGAAGAGCCCTTTTGTGTGCACAGTTGCCGAGTTTTTTTGGTAGTCACTGAAATTTTTGTGATTTTAGGGGACCTCAGGAGTTTACTTTGGAAGCATTGACACACCTGGCACTTAGTAGAAATGCTATTTTCACATTAGGATGTTGGTTAAGGGGTACTATTTGGAATCAGACTATACTACAGGCCATGAGGACTAGATTCATTCCATGTTGTTTTAAATTGCCAAATTAAAAATGTAGTACTTGAAAATATTGTGCTTGGAAATAGACTATTTACTCTGTGTCCTGTTTAATAAGAAAATTTAATTCAATAGACTTGGGAAATGAATTTGGTGTAAATGAGGATTCAGTATTCAAGAATAATAGCTGGTTATTAAGAAGAATCTTTTTATTCCTTTCATTTAATAAATGGTACTAAAATAAATACTATTAGGTTTTTGTAATAGCAAGAAAGCTGTGGATTTTAATACAGAGCGGAAAACATACCAATATTTTGGGTATCATGAAACAAAACCATCTATTTTATGAAAGCAATTTTTTATATTATTAAAATAAACATAAGAGAAAATGGCAAAACATAATTCATAAAATAAGCCACTCTGTGAAGCAGAAGTATTAAGGAGTGAAAAATTATGTCTGCTTACCATGGAAAGGAAACGGACATTCTTTAAGAAGGTGCTTTGTATGTCTGAGACATCACAAGCATTATACATACACTCTGTTCTCTGGTGGGTGCCTGTGGTTAGTAATCATTTTTTATCAAACAGCAGGGTATATAGTCACACAGACCCATATAAATGATCAGAATGCAAGTTAGACCTCCCAATGGGTAAGCTTAATTTATGTTTGGAGTCATTTTGAAATACTCTGTTTTGTTTTCCAGTGGATAAGTGTACTTCCTTTCTTCTTTTAACTCTGTCATTCTTCACTTCACACACTTCTCCAGAGCTGCAGGATTAGGCTACCAACTTTACATCAGATTAAAAAGATGTAATGAGGATAAATGATTTACAGAAGGAAAAAGAGCATGGCTCATATTTTTCTAAACGTTTTCTACCTCTGAATGAAAATAGAAATAAACACACAGAAGCACACAAGATGAAAAGCTGAAATTGATTACCCTTTTATGAGTCTCAACTCCAATTCTTTGTATAAAAATTCTTAGAACAATTTTTATAGCTGCAAATGTGGAAGATGAAATGTCATCAAGTGGCTCTGTGTGTGTTGACAGGATTTTCATAATGAACAGGTTGCAGTTTGTTTGATGTGTATATCACACATCTGGCTGGAAGTTACTAATTTACATTGTCTTAGCAAATTAAATAGATGGCTATTGATTCTCTCTATGGTAGCAGTGAACTACCACATACATTTGTTTTCAAGGCTAGTTCTCTATGAAGCCTGAGAATGATAAGTGAATTCTTTCCAAATATGCCACCTCAAACAATGTACTTAAAACAACAAGCCCCCCAAATAATTTGACAGGCCGGATGTTTTCCCAATTTAGACATGTTAATAGCATACATTTTGAAGGGATTGTCATATCATGAAAGTAGAGAGAATTTTAAATAAGCATTGGTTAAATGAAGGTTCACACCTTCATATTGATGGAAACTACATTCATAAGAAACTCATTTTTCAAATTTCCTGTTGGCCAATTTATTGTTGAAGTTAAAATATGCCTAGAAATACCCGTCATTATTATCTGACAAAAGTGATGATGAATAGAAATATTGAGTAACCTTGTTCTAATAAGCAGCTGCAACTGCGAATATAGGAATTTTAGAGGCAGGGGGTAACCGCCTTTGTATGACCATCACACAAAATGTTGGTGTTCTGAAAATCTAGAGAGGAGAAGGAGAGGACACCATGATTAGATTTTAAAAATTCTCTTAGTTTTTCTCTGGGTGCTTGAGGGTCCCTAAAGCTTATACAGCTCTTCATTAAAACTCAGAAACAAAAACAAAAACAAAACAAAAAACTCCTTTCAAACCAAAAGACAGATCAGTTCATGATTTTCTGTAAGACACACATATCCTGTTAGCTTTATGTTCCACCTTAAAAAAAAATCACTCTTATAGGTCTTGAGTGCCCACAGACTTTGAAATAAGTGTTAAGTATGACAAGCCACACTCCCTGATTATTTCCAGGAGGATAGATGAATGGAGATAGTATCTAGTAACAGTGAATATTGGGGAAAGTCCAGACAAGTATGGAGAGTACAAGGAATTCTGTATGAAAACTGAGTAGTTTTCTTGAATTCATATTTCCTTGAGTTTAATTAGTAGTATTAATTATTCATTGCCAGTTCAGATGGAAAACATTAGTGCTCAATGTGAAGAAAATTGAAAATGTGGAACACCCAATAAACTATGAAAAGTAATTTCTAGAAAAATGAAGAAGAGTCTTGATTCTTTTTATGTTTTTAAACTTCATATGTTATAAAAATAAAATTTTTAAAATCTACTTTTAAGGATAAACCAATGAAGTGTAAAAATCCCATTTTAAAATATTTAAGAACAATACTTTTTCAAACATACAGAAAAGTTGACGGACTAGTACAATGAATACCCATACACACATCATCCATAATATAAGCCGTTTTTGTTTTATTCCTGTTTCTACCTATACGTATGTCTATTTGTATGTGCATTTTTCTCCACTGAATTATTTCAAAGTAAGCTACAGACATCATGATTCTTCATCCTAAATAACATTCTCCTGCATAGCCACTGTGCCATTTATGGTGGCACATTTAAAGGGTTCAAAATCACTGTGTGTAGAAGGTTGCAAAAATATACATGAGATCTAGTTTACTGATGCCATTAAAAACAGTCTGTCACTGACATTCATCAAGTACTCACTGATACATGACCTCAGTCGATTGATTGATAGATGATATTTTGCGAGGGGACTTCTTTGGGACATAGTTGTAAAAGCTAGTGTATTTTAAATTAGACTTCTAGTAAGAATTGTTAAGTTAATAAAAGTCTGGCATTTTTTTCTGGAAAGTAAAATAAATTTTGAGAGTGATTTTGGTAACTTTGGAATCAGACAGATTTAATACTTTCAACCATTTTTGTTTGTAAAGAAGGCTTCTCTGCTTATATCCTAAGTTTAGGATAGAACACTGTTTTAGTGGAAAATCTCACATACTGTTTTAGAGTGATTCACTGAACACATAAAAGGAATTTTCTATGATAAAATTTCTATTTCAGTGTTTCAAAAAGCAGAACAAATAGACAACACTAATGATTTACATTAGTGGTCTATGCAACACTATCTACTAAATAACCCTTTGCATTTGTAGAAAAGTTTGGGCAAAATGCCAAAGGAGACATACTTCCTTCATGTAAAAGAAAACAAAAAAGGTCTCTATATTGTAATTATTGCAGGTCCAATATTTTTGCTTTTCTTTTTATAAAACCGCTATATTTCCCACATTTAAAAAGGGTCTTTAAGTGTTAACATATTCTGTGAATTTAAAGCCTTATGAATTCTTATCGCAAAGCAGCAAATGTTAAAATATGCTCATGTTAGTTTGCTCTTTCAAGTGTATTAATAGTGCTGAGTTAATTTGGGTGTTTAAATTAAAAATTATCTTTTTATTAATTTAAAGCCCCAGTGATATTATTGTTATTACTACTACGAAATTTTAGAAAATGCTTTTTAAAAACTTGACCAATAATATATATATAGTTATAGAAATAGATTTTATTTTTCTGGCTAGCAAAACCATTTTTAATATTATAAATAATGTCAAATGAAGTGCCTTTTGACTTAGCAAGCTATAGCAAAATATACTCTCATGCCTTGGATCTGTGGAGCACCTGTTGCATAGAATTAATTTTTTGATCATTAAAAATAATAATCATGCACTAATGTATACCATAAATTAGATTTGAACCTTAATTGTGTTTAATCTTTATTATAATAATATTGAACATCAAAGCCCCAGTTGTCCTTTTCAAATGATCTTTTAAGTAACTGAATGATTATAGAAATGAATTGAAGACACATTTGTATGAATCGTAATTTATAAATCAACCAAAACTATTAATAGTAATTAATAGTGATTTTATAACTACTAAAACACTTTATTAAAAGAAAGAGCTGGGGCATTTAGCCTGTTTTATAGTTCATACCAACAGTAGTCACTTAAATAATGTTATCCTCCATATCCTTTTTACTT